ATATGTGTAAAGAAAAATAAGCATGACTTTACAGGAGTACAAAAAAGTACCACTGTTATCCAACTTACCTTCGTACACAGCCCTAAATCCTTGTGCACTGACAGCAAAATCTGTAGTAAACCATAGTGTGAGAATGGAACCTGTGCTTACTATTGAAGATGGAAGCTGAAATCCTGATAATCTGAAAAACAGAAGACACATATATTTATTACACACTGAAATAGTTTTCATCAACATTTTGTGATACTTAAGAATTCAGGCCAGGTAAAAAATATAGAATGACTCCATCCAAATAGTAATAAGGACCGTAATACATGCCAATTTTTTCATATACAGGTACAGAGTATATCATAAATGTACTAACTTGCAACACTTTGTCCTGCATAAAGCTACCTTCCTAAAATATAATTCCTCCCTCCATGTTGACAGACAGATGACTTATTTTGTCACTCATTAACATCCTCTCATCCAGTCCTTGTCATCTCTTTTCTATCTCTACTTTTTTTCCCCGCCGCCTCCACTGACTAACTTAATCACTGCCCAGGACATTGCCAATCATTTCAAAGATGGATGCGATTCATGAGGAGATTTTACCTGTCGAGTTATCTCCACCAAATAATATACCATGTCCACCACATTGAATACTTTTCCTTTTTTCCCTGTCACTGTGTCCCTGTGTTGCCTGTTTCCCTGTCCCTGTGTTGCTAAATCACCTCATAACCAGCCCCCTGAAACCCATTCCTTCACAACTACTGCAGTCACCCTCTTTTCTATTCTATACTCACATCTTCATTATTTTCCTCTCTATTGGCATCTTCTCCCCTCTAAAATATTCACTAGTCACCCCCATACTTAAAAAACCCTCAATGGACCCCACACCAGTGTGAACAACCTAAGACCCATCTCCATGCTTCTATTTACTGTACCTGCAAACTCCTAGAATGCTTACTCTACAACCATCTGAGATGCTAGCTCACTGATAGCAATTTCAACACCTTACAATGTCGCTTTTACCCACAAGCTTCCATGGAAACTGCCCTCCTAAAACTCACTCACAACTAACTGTTAAAAATAATGCCTACTACTTAGTACTCTTACTATTAGACCCTTATTCTGCCTTTTTCTTGCCCACAACAAAAAAACTCCACTCTCTTGGCTTCCAAATCTCCTCTGTTTCCCCTGCTACCAATCTAAGCACTCCTTCAGTGTCTGCTACAACTCTACCTTCTATTCTTCTCTTCCTCTTCTTGTCATAACAGTAAATAAATAAATATTAGCTATAATGCACACACAGACACACACATAGTTGTATTAGATCAAAAGAGAAGACATGAAAACCATAGTTCCTATTCTTACATAACTTTTTTGTTCATACATTATATGGATTTTCTTGCTTTTAAATTAATTAGTTACCATGTTGCACAAAAGTAAACCCTGGGAACTATTAGCGTAACTCAAACACCATGGGCAAAGAAAGTTTAACACTGATCAGTAATATCCAGTCCATAGTGCTCAAATCATACCAACATGAGACAGCATGATTATCCAGAAACATGTATATAGAAATTATTAGCAGATGCACTTTTGTTCTGTTACGATATTGTTCCATCATGTGAAACACGGTGGCAGCACAGAGCCTTTTGAAATATTAATTAGACCTCTTGAACTTTCCAAAATGGAATTTTTAATGCAAGTACGGAAAGGAAATATTTCCCACTGATTACAGGATTTCATTATATATACTTTCCAGGCATAAATGTGTTACATATTGTAAGGTTTATGGAATTTGCAATTGCCAGAAGTCAATTAGGTAAAAAGTGTAAATAATTGCTGGCAGTAGCACAATCAGCTGTCTAACTAGAACTGTAAAAAATCATTAAGAATTTTGTTAGCTCTCCCTCCAGTGCAGCAAAATCAATGCATCGAGTCACCTAATATTACCAATTTTGCACTAATGTACAAGGAAGCAATTAATAATTAGAACATTGGGTAATTATGTTTTAACAGGCAGGTGAATAATAATGTCCATATTTTCTAGTTATCTTGTTGAACAAAAATCCCACACTGTTTCATTTCATTTAATTTTTATTATTTTCTTCTATTGAAATATTTTGCAGTGTTTCACCCAGTCTGCTTCTGAAATCCTACTTCGTGGACATCGTACTTTCCAACACTGATGAAAAATTGTGGATTTATAAATGAAAATTATACAAATATCTAAACAATTTAAGGCACTAAAATTAATTCAGGTTTATTTTCCTAATCGTGAAATATTTAGCTGTACAGGGCAAACAAAAAAGAGCCACAGCAAAGAATGTACATTTAGCCCAGTGGAAACAATTACTTTTTCAAACTGACTGGAGTGGAATAGAGAAGAAACCCTACCATTCTTCCCTACCATTAAACATTGCCAACTAATGGCAAAAGAGAATAATTTCTTTTGACTTAGTGAGTCACCTTGGAATTTACAGTAGATTAAAATAATTGCTCCTTTTGCCTAAGTGATCTGGGTTAGTTTTGAAAACAATAATGTAGTACAAGATAAACGGTATAATAAGTGTTTTTCATTATCACAGGGAAAATTGAATGGTGTATCAAGCTATTCATCAGCAACTTGCCATAAGGTCACCAATACAGTATTGCCATCAACAGAAACTTGATAAATTCAGGTAAATTATGAAGGTAATAAACGAGCATGTATACTTTGTATCTAATAAAAGTAATATAATAATCTATTAAGTGTTGATTATTAGAGGTGTCTTGATTATTAGGAGTGTATTACTAAAAGGTCAAAAACTACTTTTGTGTATCTGTACACAAAAAAGTTTGGCAAAGTGTTTTTTCCCCTCCCCTCTAAAGGCTACATGACTGGTGTCCCAAGCACATAGCCTCTTATCCCAAGAGATGTATTACTTTAGACAGGATGAGTTTTACTTTAAACCTAGCATCTGCATTGAGTACAAAAAAGATCTTATTATAAGGTCATGGGACTACGTTTGTGCATCTGTACACTTTTAACAAATATCACAGTATTGACTAGTGAACAATACGAAAAACATGAACTTATACCAGAAGGGTTCCCCTGATGGTCCCCTTTAAAATAATAGTGCTCATCAGTGCCCCCCCCCACGCTGGCATCTGTCATCTCCACCCCACCTGGAGCTGCTCCATGCTTCTTGCCCCTGTATGGGCTGAGGCAGCGGGAACCCGAGAAGAAATGGATGGCTGCAGCTAGTGGGGGCAGAGGGGGGAGAGGCTTTTAATACAGGACAGCCAAGCCGGAGGACAGAGGAGCTGTGTGGGGGAGAGAGCAGAGAGGCTGTCATCCTGTCAGTTTCAGGATGATAGCATCTCTGATATTTACTGATCCTCTGTGCAGAGCAAACACTGGAGTGATCAGGTGATCACTCCAATGTTTGTGAACAACTGGGGACATGTAGTACTTGGTGTCCCCAGTTATAAATGAACAGGAAGTGCTTTACATCATTCATGATTTTTTCAATGGGGAGAAGCACTCACTACAGAGGCTTCTACCCATTAATTTTACTACCCATAGTAAATAGTTTACTATCATCAGTTTCTGAATGAATAGGAAGCCTCTGTACTGAGTGGTGAGGTTGTAGGAAAAGAGATTGAGGGCTCTGTGTCTTTCTATTTAAAAAAAAGAAATGTCAGGGATCTGTTTAGACCCCTGATATTTCCCAGAAACCCCCCAACAGTAAAAAAATAAACACAATGAATAAAAAAACTAAAAACAAAACACACCCTCCACCCACACAGATAACATACATGTGCAACAGTGTGCATCATATTGTGGTGTATGCCATGCACATGTGCTGCCTTGTTAGAACACACCGCAGTGCTTTATTTGGTTTGCATTTTTTTAATAACATTAATTTAACTGTGGCAGTGCATGGTAAAGTGTTGTGATGCATTTCCGTGCATTGTGATATGCTGTGTTGCAATACAAAATATATGCCTGCATAATTTTATCACAACACGGACCAGCACAGTGCACAAACGATTTTTAACATAAGTTGCTTATTTACAATTTTGCATTACTTTACAAGGCGCAATTTAAAATGTACAAATATGTGTTATTTAATTAACTCAATACAGTTTTAGCTTTTAGATTTAGTCAGAAAAGTATTTTTTTTGTACACTGATACTGATCTTAGTGTGCTTTTATCAATTGAATTGTATTTTTTTTATCGGTTTCAAATTGATTTTATAAACATTTGCGCAATTATCGCAGGGCCTACAACATTAGTAGCACCATCTTTTTATTCTACTGGGCCTGTGCTTTCAGAAATTCATGGTTTGGGAGGTCTTTCACAAACGCTAGCAACGCAGCAATAGAAAATCAAAACAATGGGATAAATTGCAAAAATGCTGTGGCCAGCTGAGGTTAAAAGCATTCCAGAGGCCTTGGCAGCGAAAGGGTTAATCCCCATGGCTGCCTCTTGTTCTGCTAACTTACAAGATTGATATTTATTGTATTCCATGTGTAATTTTCTTTACTATATGTACGCACTATGATCTCCCAGACCTGTACATTGCCATCTCTCATCATCGGGGTTCTTACATGGGCAGTTTGGTTGGATGGGGTTGAGTTTAGTCATCTACCTTATTTTTGTAGCTCCCCCATCTACTAACGTTTGATGGATTGGGACCCTGGGTCTGGGAGATCCTATGCGCTTATGTATTATCAGTTTTGTGGGTTCTCTGTCCTTGTCAATGTTCTCCTGGTGAAGCCTACCGCAGCTCTCATGGTGGATCACGGAGTATCGGTTCTTCTGCTGGACCACAATCCTGCTGGAGGTTCTGACTCTCTGTGAATTTTACTTGTCTCTATTTTCTAGTTGAGATTATCGTTTCAAATCACTTGGTTACCATTTTCTATTCCTCATAGCTGACTATTGTTTTACTGAACTGAATGATTGATCCCTCATATGCTTTTTCCTCTTGACGTATATATATATACAGTGTGATCTCCCAGACCTATATCTTACCATATTCCACCATGGGGATACCTCAGTGGGTGGGTTGGTTGGATGGAGTTGTGTCTATCCATACAACTCCATTTTATACTTCCCTACTTCTACCCATACTAGGTGAATTTGTGCCCTGGGTCTGGATGGTCCTCTATAATTTTGCACTGTCAACTCCATGTTCTTTTGAGCTACACTTATCTGGTGGGTATTTGTCCTCAGGATGGCAGGGATCACTCTCTAGCCAGCTTATTATTTTAATTGTTACCTGCTTCACCCTAACCTCTGTTTGCTCTTGTGGACATTGCTACCTGCCTCCTTGTTGTCATGAGGCATCCTTTCCCAGAATTGCTCCTGTACTTGCATCCCAAGGATGGGTTTGGGTTGTGTGACTCTTTATGGGAGTATACTGCTGGTTCAATTTCAGCTATATGGTGTTTCAGTGGCTACTGCTGGACTCTGCCCCCCCTCGGGGGATGGGGGTCTTCAATTCTCGTTATCTGCAGCGTATGCCCTCTCTTTCCTCTTCTTTTTTGAGGTGGTCAATTGGGTCTAGTGACCCTCCAGATGGGAGAAGGCCGTGCTAATGACCACCAGTATAGTCTGGGGATGCTTTTGCATGCTTCCATTGTTGTTCAGTTTTATTTGTTTTTCATTAAACTGGAAGTCAATGCCCAGAGTCGCTCAGTGGCTCCGCATCCCCTGCACTGAACTCATCCCCGTCAGGCACCGAACACCCTGGGCAATTTTTCTCCGGGGTAGTTCATTGAAAAGTTTCTTATACTCGCGTAGCTGTACTTGTTTTAGTTTCCCTTTCTTATCCATTCAACTCTATTTCTTTGTGTTCTTCCTTGGTGTT